TATTTCACTGACATCATCGGTTCCAACGTAGGCAACACACAGACTCTTTTCTCTCTCCTTAACTGCACAGTTTCATCTCCGAACTCTCTACCCCCCAACCCCCACATGCTTTCTACTGACTGCTGTAACTCCCTCATGTCATTCTTCACTGAAAAAAATCTGCTCCATACACCAACACCTTGGGCGAAACTCTGCCCCCAACATCTTTACAGAACTCCCACCCCCCTCCACCCCCCTCTTTGTCTTCGCTCTCCCCTCTGCTGCTGATGTCTCTGCCATCATTACAAAGTCCAAATCATCCTCCTCACAGCTAGATCCCATCCCCACAGCTTTCGTTAAATCCTGTCTCCCCTCTCTGCTTCCTATCATCACTAACATCATCCACTCCTCTATGACAACTGGTAAAGTTCCCACAGCTTTTAAATTGGCTGCCATCACCCCATCATAAAGAAAACAGGTCTAGATCCGACTAACTTCAATAACCCCCGTCCCATTTCTAATCTACCTTTCATCTCCAAAATTCTTGAAAAGGTCGTCACTAATCAGCTTCACTCACACCTCTCCAGCAAAAACCTCTATGAACAGTTCCAATCAGGTTTTCGACCACATCACCGCACCGAAACTGCTCTTATTAAAATTACTAATGATCTTCTCCTTGCTGCTGACTCAGGACTTCTGTCAATACTTTTCCTCCTTGATCTGAGCTCTGCCTTTGACACCATCTCTCATCCTATCCTCATCGACCGACTAACCTCTATCTGTCTCTCAGACACCCCACTGAACTGGTTTAAATCCTATATTTCTGACCGCACTCAGTTCATACAGCTCAAGTCCTTCCGCTCCCAGTCTTCACCCATTTCCACTGGTGTTCCCCAAGGTCCTGTACTCGGGCCTCTACTTTTCATAATCTATCTGCTCCCGCTTGGCCACATCTTCCGTAAATTTGGTATCCATTTCCACTCTTATGCCGATGACACTCAACTCTACATTTCAACAAAACCAAACTCCACCTTATCATCCTCAACTCTTAGACTGCCTCAGTGAGCTTAATAACTGGTTCTCTAACAATTTCCTCCAACTAAACATATAACACCCTCGCCTCAGGTCAAGAAGCTAGGTGTCATCCTTGACACCACACTCTCTTTCAACTCACACATTAACAATGTGACTCAATCTGCATACTTTCATCTTCACAACATTAACCGTYTCAGTCCTTCCCTCACTCCCCGCTCCACAGCCATCCTTGTACTCAGCCTAGTAACATCCAGGATCGACTACTGCAACTCCCTACTGTTTGGCCTCCCCAATAAATCCCTTCACAAACTACAGATGGTTCAGAACTCAGCTGCCCTTGTAATCACTAAAACTTCATCCTCTGCCCACATCACTCCAGTCCTACAACAGCTCCACTGGCTTCCAGTTAAATCCCGCATCATCTTCAAAATTCTCCTTCACACTTTCAAAGCTATCCACAATCTTTCACCTCCTTACCTGTCTGACCTCCTGAACATCTCCACACCCTCCCGCTCTCTAAGATCTGCCTCCTCCCTCCAACTCTCAGTACCCCCTGCCCGCCTCAGCACCATGGGGAGCAGAGCTTTCAGCCGCTCTGYTAAAAAGTGTGTTTTTAGGAGTGTCTTMAAAGAGAMAATGTTATCAAGGGAGCRTAGATTAAATGGGAGTTCATTCCAGAGCCTGGGGGCCACAGAGGAGAAGGCACGGTCACCACGGGTCTTAAAGCAAGTGAGGGAAACCATAAGGAGATGTAGTGCACTTACATCAATTATTTATATAATTATTTAACTACCAAATATAGTTACTGAAGCATTACGATCATTAAACTAATTGTTAAACAGCCTAACTGCTGATTGTGTTAAGAATTAGCAAGCACAAGGTAAAGTCCAACAAAACTTGATTTTAATCTGACCAGGGTGACCACATCCTGAATGTGAGTGTGGGTCTGTGGGACAAAAAAGATGCTTCTGTGGGACAAATCACTGATGTGTCATAACATTTATTTTATTATAGATCTCACTTACAGGGCTGTACGTCAACTTTTTTTTTAGCTCATAGCACCAGTGCTACAGAGGTAGCTGGTTTTGCAGCACAGAACAAATATTTGTAGCACCAGCATAAAATGTCTGTTCTAATCTTGAAAACCAAAAGCCAGAATGGTAAATAATATGGCAAGTACTGTTTTAGGACAGGAGTCACCAACCTATAACACAAACAGTTACTTGTTTGATAAAACAAAAACAGATTTATACAGCTCACCTTCAATTATAACAGTAAGACATTTACATAAATGTGAATATTTAACTACCTGGTTACAACTTAATGACTCCTCATGATAGCTATCAATAATAATTTACTATGATTAATTATTATTACTTTAAGTGATCAGAACTCTGTGCAGCAGATGGATCTGAGTCCAGAGTTTTCAGTTTAAATCTCTTTTGAAGAACACAAAACCACTAAATGAATGAACAGCACATATACTGTAGTGTTCATTTTCCCCCTGACAGTACAGAAATCATCAACAGAGGCCCTCTCTCATCGCACTCACATGTGCTTTCAGAAAACAATATGGAGTTAAAAGAGGCGTGGAAAAAAATTGGCTGCTCTGATTCAAGCTACTGAAGTCTGCAGCAGGAGCTGCTGAATAACTCTTGACTCTTTATGTTGCAGATCAAAAAACATCCAAGAACATCTTTTTAGGGTTTTAAATTTAAAAATGATCCGACTCTAATTCTGATTGTATCTGCATTTAGTCTCTGGGTCAGTAAAGTTTGTATTTATCTCATTCTCTGTACGCATAAACAGTAAAGAGCTTGCACGCCTAAAAAAATTAAAAAATAAAATAACATCTATTTGTAACATTTATTCAAAATACTCAAATTTCTTTGTTCTAATCATACTAACATTTGTAGATACAAAATATCAGTTATGTAATATAAAAACAAGCATAGAAAAACTTCTAATCACTGTGAAAATAATGTTTACCTACATTTTAAATAATGTTTCTGACTTTTGTGCTACGGTTGACCAAAAATCACTGAAAATTTTTTAATTAATTAATTAATTAAAAAACTTTAAAAAGTTGCGTGTGGGGGGCCATAACAAAATATCAACACAGTATCTACATTGAGTTTTACTATACGCAAGCTGTGAGCTCTACACTACCGAGGGTGAATCTAAAAAAGGCCTGCTGACAGGTAGATAGATACATTTTATTAGAGGTGTCCCGATACCGATACCAGTATCGGTATCGGGTCCGATACCAGCATCAAGTACTCATACTCGTAAAAGCCGGCCGATACTCTTAACCGATACCGCTTTTGTCCCCTTTTTTGTTCCTCCTGTGCTGTGCTGCAGCACAAAGGGTAAACAACAATCCATACCAGGCGGGGGCGCTAACGCACTGACACGTTATTTCCGACCGCACCCCCGAATAACAGAAGAAGAACGATGAGAAGAAGAAGTAACGTCGGCAGTTTGGAGATATTTTAAGATCGGCCACCAAACGAGGACACAAACAAGCAGACTGTCTGCTGTGCTCTGCTAAACTGTCAAGAGGAGGAGCGAAAGTTGGATGTTTTAACAGCAGCAATTTGATTCAACATTTGAGGCAAGACATGACAAAGAATTCAAAGAGTTTGTTGCTGCTAGCAGTAGCCTTCATAAACAGCACTGTGCTGCAGTTGTTACAGTAACTTCAATGCTGTTTTTTTTTTCTTTCTTGTAGAACAAACTAAGACATAAGCAGAATATGGAAGGAAGTTTCTTGTAAAAGCATTTTATTTTTCACTGTGGTTCTTCTGAGATTTTGTTTTAGTTGTTCCATTTAAGTTTGAACTGAAATTTACTGCACTTTATTATTATTAGTCATTTTTTTAACAGTTTAAGACTGAAGCAGAGTAAACTTCTATAGATGTGCTGCTAAAATTTACGTTTTACATTTTAATTTAAATTTGGTAGTTGCATGTTGAGGAAAATGTATAAAAATAACTTATTTTGTTTTTCAATGTATGCAACAGCATTTGTTTTGCAGTATTTGTTTTGTTAATACATTCAAAGGGAGTGTGGCCTTATAAAAAGAGCCTGTTTAAAATAAAATAAATGGTTTCAAAAGTTATGGTGTGATATATATACCAACTTATCTACTTGTCAGAGTTTGCACTACCTTTTTATTGTCAAACATAATATTTACCCATCAATTTTTGCATGATAATTGCATTTCATTTTCATTCTGTTTAATATTAAACAAGTTGAACAGATAATCCACCCTAACCCAACTACTTGGTATCGGTATCGGCGAGTACCTAAACTGAAGTACTCGTACTTGTACTCAGTCTTGAAAAAACTGGTATCGGGACACCCCTACATTTTATGTCCAAAGATTTTTTTTTTCTAAAGCAATAATGTGCTATTGCAACAGCAGGGTAAATTACAGGCTCTTAAAGGCCATTTCTTTGGTAAACTGCCCAGTTTCACTGACCCTAGGGTTGGGCGGTACTAATCATTTTTATACCCTGGTATGACCTTTAGAAAAGCCTAACTAACCTCTTTACAGAAAGCCTACAAGAACATTGGGCATTGCTCTATAGCTCAGAGGTTCCAAACTGGGGTCCACGAGTCGTGTCGTGTCTTCCTCAAAAAATTTCAAGAAATTGTTAATTTGGTTTTTATTTTAAAAAATGTATTATGGGGAATATTGCACTAGCAAAACAAACATACTAAACCAAACAAAAATACTATTACCATAGCATTAAGGGATTAAAATAATGGTAAACTATTTTGCATTAACAGCATAGGGTGTCTTAGGGGGATCCCTGGAATTTTTTCACCCTTCTAAGAGGTCCCCAGAACCAAAACGTTTGAGAACCCCTGCTGTAGCTGACCCTGCTATAGATAGTTGTGAGACAACGTAAAGAGGGTGCACCAACAACTGTTATTTTCTTTTGTTTTTAAATTGCTATGACATGCCAAATGAACTTCACCTGTAAGCTCATGGTGGATGAGTTCAGAAAAGTTTGGGTCGTCCCCCCACCAGAAGAGCCACAGCTCCCGCCGACCCTGCCGCTGGCTGCGCCGCCACACGCTCAGCACGTCGGCTTTCAGGCAGCGGCTGAAGCTGCACAGGATGGGGTCCTCTTCTGTCACCGGGAAGAGGATGGGAGCAGAGGTGGGACCCTGCCACACAAACCTCTTCCATTTGATTCCTGTCAGGTCAGCCTGCAATGCAAGGAGGGGGAGAGAGAGAGAGAGATCATTAGAATGAAGAGTCGCTGGTTCAGTATCTACTCAGCACATTGCAGAAAATGTGTGCTTAGCAGTGTTAAAGGTAGTTATTAATCCTCTGTGATGGGAGAGTTCACCCTACTTCTATCCATGCCATTAAACAGGAAAAAAAATCACAAAAAATGAAAGAAGAGGAAAGGTCTGGGAAAAAAATTAGGCATTCAAATTGATAATGGCTTCAAAAAATTGGGACATTTGTTTGTTTATGTAAAAAGTATGCGCATGAGCTTGAGGTGCTTTTAATATTACAACAAATATTATGTTCAAAACACACATTAGAAAAAACTAATGCTGTTAATATGGTCTCACTGCCTTAATCCTCATTACTGGTGAGTGCTGGAGGGGGGATGGTTTGCCTTTCTCTAAACGCTGTMTGGCTTTTATACAGAGAACAAAATCCACAGGAAAAAGCCTCATAGGCAGTAAATCACTAGCAGGATTATTAAGTGTTAAAACGGGAACATTACGCTCCATTGCTGGCTCGCACTGCTGCTCATCAACCAAGCGCTGACAGACTACCCATGTCTACATAAACAAATGCACACATGCCAGCTACAATTCAACACACGCACCAGCATCCCTTGCTGGTGTGCAATTTATCTTTGTAGGCATTTCAAGTAATCTGTATAAACATGGACTGTTCATTATACAGCAGTTTACTTCTATTTGGTTCGGGCAGAGTTAGCGAGCCATCCCTGTGTAAATTCAGCAAATTAATCCATTATAATTCAGAGGATATCTTAACTCAAGTCCGGAGGCATTGAGCATAAAAAGTGATTACCCATGGTTGTGGCAAAGCAGTGGTCTTTTGCCTGGCTGGGGATAAGCTGAGAGATTTGTGGCGTTAGAAGAAATGGTGGTGGAGGCATTGGGGACTGTCAAATGAGTACTGTGTGCTGTTGTCTGGAGAAAATGTGGGCCACAACAACAGGTTAGAAAGCCATGAGTTGGAACAATAATAACGTCCCTGGTCTATTTTTATGATCCCATCATATACCCATAATGTTACAAAAAGCAAAACATCCATTCTAGATTCTTATGCTACAATCGACTCCTTCCAACTCTGGGAAAATTACCAGAAAAATCTTTAAAATCTGTTAGTAAAGTAAATGGAGAACTGCCCTTAAAAATAAAACTAGATACCGCTATGCGGTAACATAATGACCCCTGCACACACCAATGCACCAGAATTCAGAATGCCTAATAAATGTCATGCTACTTTTTTTGTTTACTGTTTTAACTATTAGTTTTGCAAAATGATTTTTCATATTTAAATGGTTTTACTAATCCTAAATAGGTAGGGTGAGTTAAAATGAGCACAGCGCAAAGATAAAACTGAGGTCAGCTGACTTCACCCATTTCCCAGTCTGTTTTGTAGTTTATTATGCTTTTGATTAATCAAGAAATAAATTGAGTGCATATTGTGTAAATTTAATCAGCGAGCCTCCAAAAAACTTTTTTTTTCTTAAAAAAATAGCTTCTGTACGACATCTAGATGATTAAATGTTGCTTATCCCCCTCACCTTCTCAGTCCCACCTTTTTCTTTCTAATTTTAGTTATTTCTTTCACATAGTGCTACAATTAAACTCATCTTTGCTGCTACTGTCATCATAAGCATAGCGTGGAAAGGGGGTCTGGGGTTCTTCCCCAGAAAATTTTGAATGAAGTAGGTGCTGTTTCCTGCATTCTGCTTTATTTGCAGGTTGTTAAACACATTTTAAACTACACAAATAAGCTCCTTCATAACTTTTAGAGACAGATTCTTCATTCAACTCAATATATGAATCATCCTTTTTGTGACGAATAGGATGTTTGATTCTTTGACCAGCTGCTAGGCAGTAGTTTTAATAGGGTTAATAAAAACATCGGTGACTGCATCGCGGCAGCCAGTCTTGTCTTTAGAGACAGTAGTATGTCAAGAGAACAAAAAATAAAGTTTCTTCTGTTGCTCCTTTTTTAATATACTGTATATAGATTAGTAAGTAAGTAAGTAAGTAAAGTTTTATTTATAAAGCGCCTTTCACAGAAATATATTCACAAGGTGCTGTACAATCAACAGTATAGAAATGGTGGAAAGAATAAAATGAAACAATTTAGATTAGGCTATTGTTTTTATTTTACTGTCACAGCTCTAACCCTCCTTTTTATTATGGCTTGGGACCAGCAAAAACACTTAGTTATTTTATAGGGATCTATTTTAACCATAGAAATGTTTTAATTAACATCCCATCATGGATCAGTCAGCAGCAGATTCTCACTAACACGATTCGTTTCAAGTCTCGATGGGATGGATATCTGCCTGCAGCAGGGAGGGACGCAGGGTGAAGAAGCCTCCTGTCAGTGCTCTGGGACTGGGGAGGAGCTCTCAGCAGCACCCGCTGCATTCATGTCAGAGTCTCTATAAGTCTCAATAACACCAGAAAAAAAGAGTTGCTAGATTGTCACTAGTTGCTTTTCTGGAAAAGTCTCTGGAGGGGTCTGAAAACTCAGTAAATACAGCGACAAAGTCGCTAAATTGGCCCCGCTGTTTTTCGCAACCCGCCACCTCTCATGTCAGGGAGCCGTGTCATATAATATGTTTTTTTTTTAAATTATTGATGGTACATCGTACAGAGGGCAAAATTATCATACAAATACGACAATTATCGTACGTCTGGCAACACTGCACAGTTTTTAAAACAATGTAGAATTTTCCCACCTTGTTCAAATCTGTGCATGGGTGTGTGTCAGGGGCGGCTGGTCAATAAGGGGCACTACGGCGCCACCCCACCACTATTTTTGGTACACAAAAAATAAATAAATAAATAAAT